TCCCGTGCAATCATCAAACAGGGGTTTTTTCATGCAGCCACTGATCCCATGAAAAAAATAGTGGCTATATTTATTGTGCAACCAGGAATTCAGCAGCCGGAAATCCCCCTCGAGGAAACACTCGCCGAAGCAACGACCAAATCTTAGATGCCGAGGCCGAGTCAAGTTTTGGTTCTTTGCAGCTGGTGATCTTATGATATCTTGATCTTATAGTATGTTTTTATATATTTGATTTGTATATCTTAAGATATCTTGTATAGTATAGGATATCTTCAAATATATTATAGTATTTATATATCTTAAATATATATATATATATCACTGTATATTATACTGTATTGCTTATGATTTGTTTTAAAAAAAACAGTATGATATACAGTCTGATACTGTATTATACTGTATCATATCTTATCTGATATCTTATGTCCCTTGATCTTTTTGCAAATCCATAAAAACATCTCTTGGCGGTTCACTCCAGGAATTGTTGCGTGGGTTACAACCCCAAAAACATCAATAGGTCACTACGACGCTTCCGCCGCTTCAACATAATTCATCTCCTTGTCTCCTGGAAAATAATCCACGAATCAAATTCTTGGGGTTTTATCACCAAGTACTCTACCCAACTAAAGTTGTAAGTTAGTTATAAGTTACAACCCCGTCCACCTATAGATATATCGATCATAAATCCAACACTTAACCTAAAAAAAAAACTGAACCGACTATGCGACCGACAAGAAACATAATACATAGCAATTGCTGTTACTATATGTTATTATAAATTCCGGATTATCGAAGTGGAATAGCAATAGACATTATGCTATTATATGTTTACTAACAATAGCAATACCACTTAATATAATTGTTACTTTAAACCTTGTGAATCTCATGATGTTTTTTCTTCATCCAATGAAATTCCCAAGTCCATCAGACCAACTAGATTTCATGTTCATAGATAACATGTCCATTCAATTCTCCCATCTTATCACAGGTTATCCCATTTTGATTAACAAATTGAAATGAGGTTATCCCATTTTCCCATGGATAATCCCATTTTCTGTTCTCATCCCATTTCGTCACATTTTCCCACCTTCGTTGAGTTGAATGAGGTGTTCATAAAGCCTCGCAGCGCTGCAGCGCTGCAGCAGCTCCGGGGCTCCAAAAATGATGGACTGAAAGGACCAGTTGTTCGAAAATTACATTCCCAACTGAATGGAAAAAATGCTCCAAAGCACCAAGCAGTATTTTATGATGATATGATATGATATGATGATTATATTATATGATATGATATAATATGATATGATATGATATGAAATGATATGATATGATATGATATGATGATATGATATGATATGATATGATATGAAATGATATGATATGATATGATTATGTATTGAACATGTATGGTTGAGATATGGTTCGTAATTTCAATGTATTTAATGGTTGATGTATCTGGCCAGATGTATGGTTAATATATGTTAATATATGATTAATTCATCTGTAAACCACTTATGAATTGGATAATCCCATCTACCATTCATATCAAACACCCACAAACAAAACCATGGTTTTGGTTGGGGATGAGATGACTGATGAATGACTGATTGGTGGTTTTTCCCCACACATCTCAAAACTCGTTCAGAGTCATGTTCAGAGTCATTGGGGATCATCGTCTGCCAGCCATGATGTTGGTGGTTTCAACCTACCCCTCTGAAAAATGATGGAGTTCGGTAACAGTTGGGATGATGACATTCCCAATATTATGGAACGTCATAAAAGCCATGTTCCAAACCACCAACCAGTAATTCTATTTTTTAGCTGGTGAATGGACTAATTTTACCATTGATAGCAAAAGTCTAGTTCAGTAACTAGTTCGTATCTAACCAATCGGTTGATCCAACAATCATTGAGATTTCAAACAAGAATAGAGAGATGGTGCATCATGACCATTCCAGTCATTGGATTGAGGGAAAATCTGCAGGAAACCATGGTTTTTATTGATTTTTACCATGATTTCTATGGGGGTTTCCGGTTAAAATTGTCCCAACAAAACCAATCCATTGAACCATGTATGCCATCCGTCTCAGAATATGAACCCAAACAGCATGGGAAATCCCTCGGGATCGATGGGCTGGAATCTGCCAAGGACCTAAGGATTTTAAGCCAAGTTCTCAAACAACTTTGCCAAGGATTTGGCCGATTTTGCCAAGGACGTTGCCAAGGATTCTGGTTTTTGTTACTGTTTGGTATGAATCTACGACCTGCCCAGTAGTTCCATTGATCATGATTCGGATCATACCTGGAAATGGGAAACTCGACCCCACAGAGTTTTATGGCTATGAGTCAAAAGCCTAGCACCCCAGGTACCCTACGTCAAAGCTGGGATTCATGGATGTTTATTCCCCCAGTAATAATATATCATAATAGGGTTTAAACCATGCAAGCCATACCCTTCATACCCTTCACCCAAACCAGCCAACTCCAAGTATATAAAACATGTGCTCCCTGGACTAAACACTATTTGTCTGCTTGCTAAATCCCCAATGTGTGTATGTCTTTTATTGGTCAATACGTGCATGGCCGGATCAGCCATATTAGTCTTGAGTCTTAACTGTTCATCGTTTAAATCCCACCTATGAACAGATTTCAATCACAAACCCACTTTCGTTGGTTGAGTTTCGATATTTATCTGCTTAAATGCCAACTTGCCTGACAAACCCAATCCGACAATTGGCACGCTGGTAACATTATAAGTTACATCAAAAATAGCAGAGTCAAAAAATTGAAAGCAGAAAGTGGGTAACACTTTTGCAACCAACAATTGAATTGAAAACTGATTACCCTCCTGTAAACATACCAAAAACATACGTGGTTTATTACGCCAGCATGTGTCGATCATTTTCCCAAGGAAACCCATTGGCTTTTTCCATGGGGTTTTCCCACATTGTTATTGTGAGTTTACCCTTAGGATTCCATTCGGATTTCCATTGGGATTCCGAAATTATCTGGTTTTTCCATTGGGATTCCGAAATTATCTGTTCAACCTCCAAGTTGCAGCTCAAAGAGTTTCTTCCGCCACGCAGGTGCATCGGGCCCGGGCCGCATCTGCGAAGGGAGGAAGATCAGGGAGGTTTCCGTTCGTGGGTACCCCCAGTTATCATCCATTCATCAACCAGAAATCAGTCACCTGAATGCTGGGGGAAAAGTCCAAATTCATTTCTAATCCAGATGTCATCATTTACGGTCAGACTACGTTGAGGTCGCAAAGGAATCTAGATGTATATGTATGTATGTATATACCAACTGTCGCCCAGATCAACAGAAACACCCCGCCCGGCCGCCCAGTGTTTCGCGCTGTCGCCCTCTCGATTTTTCTCCGGACGTACGCTGCAAAAGTAGGTTCGTTCGAGCGGCCGTTGTCATGCTTCCTGAGCCGCAGAGGGTCTCCCCCTTTTGTTTGGTGCTTTACATGTGGGGGGGGGGGCAGTGAGCGCCCCCCCATCTCCGACTTACATTACAAAAGGGGGGGTTTCCATTAAGAGGTTAAACCACATCGACAGGTACCCCGGAGTCCCCTCACAACCATTGTTGGGAGGCAAACAAAGTGGGTTATCCCCAGATGTGCCTAACCGAAACCCTACCCCTTATGTAAATATGTGTTCATATCACATTGAAAGATGGGAAAGTCAACTCCTTACATTTTATGCCGGGTCGCTTCTCCATCCTTCTGTGTTTTAGAGATGGGTTGTGGTGGGTGGGGAAAACACAGAGGCAATCCCTCAATTCCCCAAAATTCCCCCCCCTGTGGCGGCAAAACCCTTGATCCAAAATGGCCACCACAGTAGGGTGTTATTACTTAAACAACCATCCCACCATGTTGTTACTGGGGCCCGTTGTTAGTGCATGCAACAAGTTGCATTACCCAACAACTGTCGCCCAGATCAACAGAAACACCCCGCCCGGCCGCCCAGTGTTTCGCGCTGTCGCCCTCTCGATTTTTCTCCGGACGTACGCTGCAAAAGTAGGTTCGTTCGAGCGGCCGTTGTCATGCTTCCTGAGCCGCAGAGGGTCTCCCCCTTTTGTTTGGTGCTTTACATGTGGGGGGGGGGCAGTGAGCGCCCCCCCATCTCCGACTTACATTACAAAAGGGGGGGTTTCCATTAAGAGGTTAAACCACATCGACAGGTACCCCGGAGTCCCCTCACAACCATTGTTGGGAGGCAAACAAAGTGGGTTATCCCCAGATGTGCCTAACCGAAACCCTACCCCTTATGTAAATATGTGTTCATATCACATTGAAAGATGGGAAAGTCAACTCCTTACATTTTATGCCGGGTCGCTTCTCCATCCTTCTGTGTTTTAGAGATGGGTTGTGGTGGGTGGGGAAAACACAGAGGCAATCCCTCAATTCCCCAAAATTCCCCCCCCTGTGGCGGCAAAACCCTTGATCCAAAATGGCCACCACAGTAGGGTGTTATTACTTAACAACCATCCCACCATGTTGTTACTGGGGCCCGTTGTTAGTGCATGCAACAAGTTGCATTACCCAACAACTGTCGCCCAGATCAACAGAAACACCCCGCCCGGCCGCCCAGTGTTTCGCGCTGTCGCCCTCTCGATTTTTCTCCGGACGTACGCTGCAAAAGTAGGTTCGTTCGAGCGGCCGTTGTCATGCTTCCTGAGCCGCAGAGGGTCTCCCCCTTTTGTTTGGTGCTTTACATGTGGGGGGGGGGCAGTGAGCGCCCCCCCATCTCCGACTTACATTACAAAAGGGGGGGTTTCCATTAAGAGGTTAAACCACATCGACAGGTACCCCGGAGTCCCCTCACAACCATTGTTCGGAGGCAAACAAAGTGGGTTATCCCCAGATGTGCCTAACCGAAACCCTACCCCTTATGTAAATATGTGTTCATATCACATTGAAAGATGGGAAAGTCAACTCCTTACATTTTATGCCGGGTCGCTTCTCCATCCTTCTTTGGAGGGCACCTCCGCGGCCTTCACGTCCTGGTATCGTAGCATCGGCTGCATGGTGTTCCATCTGTGCCACTGAAGGCGCCGGCACACCCGGCGGTCGCCCACCGCCAGCCACACCACGTGGTCCATCCAGCTGGCGGGCCGGTCATAACTCCAGCCCGATGGATGATTCCTGTCAGGTTGTGGCGGACTGCCATGCCTCCTTCCGGTCCTGCCGGTTTCTCCGGTCCCACCTCAGGTCCCGGGGCCGTTTCCAGCGCTTCGCGAAAGTGCGCGCCGGCCAAGTCCCCCATCACTCCTTGGGTGAGGGCTCTTGCCATTGGGATTGACGCCGCGGATGACTTCACCACCGGGGTGCCACGGAGGTAATTCCTCATGGCCTTGGTGCTGGTCCACCTTCCCAGCACTCGAACTTCCTCCTCCGTGAGGTCGGCGGCGAATCCCAGTATGGCACCCGTCACCCTTAGTGAGTGGGTGCCGTGCAGCCAGGCTCCTTCTGTTTTCATCGGCAATCCGGCCATGCTGGCCACCATCCGGACTGCTTCTCCAACGGCACCCGCTGTGATCCTCCGGCCCCCAACGTCTACGAACAAGGGTGCCTGCCCCGAAACCGTCCCCACCTCACTCATGGCGTCTTTACGGCTGCATATGGTTTTCCAGAGTAGGTGGGCCGGGCACCATGGGGCGGCTGCGGGGTCTTCACAGACGCAGTCCCTGCACACCAGGGAGCCTGCCGCCTCTTGGTCCGTCTTCGAGCTCCGTATCCACAGTCCGACCTGGAACCGTGAGCCGGTCCGTTGGCGGACATCCCCTACATTTAAAGAGGTGAGCTCGGAAACTCGGAGCAGGAACCAAATCCCCACCGATAGCGCCTCGAAGTGGGGGGTATGGGGCGGCGGCATCGGTATGGGTTGCTTCCCTCGGGCCGGTCCGACCCCCCGGCGGCTGATGCGCACGGCCTCCTGGTGTGCGCTTTGTAAGGGGCCACTCATGTCGTAGCGGCTCTTATGCCGGGTTACTGCCGAACTGAGGTAGAGTTCCGCCGACCTATACCCTCGTGACCTGAGGTATGCCACACCGGCTTTGGCGGTCTCCGGGCTCAAGCGGCACCGGTCTTCGGGCAACGTCAAGAGCCCCTTGCTTTCCAGATCCTCCAGTGCCTTGTCCCACGTCTTGAGGCGGGAGGTCTGGGAGCGGACCGTGGACGCAGCTGTCCCCAGCGAGAGGGCTCGGCGGAAATCTTGAGCCGAGAAGGGTCGGCCCTTTCCGCTCTTGCCCGAGCGTCCTCCACCTTTCCGGAACATGTTGCGTTCTCGGTCCCGGGCTGTTTTTCCCGGCTTCTTACGTTTGGGCCTTCCGTCCGGTCGCCGTCCGCTCCCGGGGCCGCCCCCCTTTCCTCCCGGTCCTCCGGCTCCGCCACCTTTGCGGTTTGGTCCCCTCGCGGGCCCCTGTGCTTCGCGCACCCTGGCGTCGCAGTTGAACGTGTGGTCCCTGCCATGGGTGCGCACGCACGGGTCGCAGCAGACGCTGTCTCCTCCACGGGACGGTCGGTTGCAACCGCGCACGTCACACACGTGCCAGTCCCAAGCCGGATGGTCCCCCTTCCCTCTCGGGGGGGGTCTAGGAGGCTCGGGAAGTCGTTCTCGCCCTCTTCCGGAATCCCATCGGTCCGTTTCTTCTTCATCGTAGTGGTCGTGCTCCGCTTCCTCCTCCTCCGTGCCTTCCGAGTCGTCGTCGGAGTCCTCGTGGCGGTCTCGGTCGATGTCAGGAGCGCTGCGGCTCCCGCTCGCTCCCGGCGGGATGCCGCTCCTGCTGGCGGCCGGAGTGCGACTCCGCTCGCGCGGCGGCGTGCGGCTTCTGGTTCGCCTGCCCGCTGCCGGGGTGAGATCCGGCATCATCCTGGCCGGTGGCTGGTGAGTGCCACGGGCCGAGGGCGGGGCTCCCGACCCTGCGCCTCCGGCGGGCAGAGCGGGTCTTGCCCTGTTGCGGCCATCCTCCGTGGACGGGAGCCTGCCTGCGCCTGAGAGCGGTGACCCCTGCTCTCCCGTTCGGTGCGCGCAGCATGCGCACATAGGGGCACCGGCTACCCACCTGGTGCACTCCTCGCACGGCGTGTGCCCGCACATTCTTATGTCTCTGTTTTTCGGCCTGATCGTGCCGACCCTGCTGGGCACCAGGCATATGCCCACGTGGTGGCGGCTTCGACTTCCCAGCGGTCGTGTCACCATGGTGGCGTGGTCCAGCCGGATGCTGTGATTCATCGCCCTGGCTCCGCCCTTGCCGCAAGAGCAACAGATCGGGGCGGCATCGGCCAAGCCCAGTTCGGACCCATGGTCCCTTTCCGGCGGGGATCCTTCCCGGTCCTCGTCTCCCGGGGGATCTTCCCGGTCCCTCCTGCCCTTGCGGGGGCGGTGCCCGCCCGGGGGCGGTTCTGCCTCGGCTTCCTCAACTTCCGGGGCCTGGCCGGTCTGGTCACTTCCGGCCCCTTCGCCATGGGATTGCGGGGCCATGCCGAGGTATTCCCGCAACCCCCTTTCCGTCAGGACCCACTCTAGGATCCACGGCTTTCCGGTTCCATCCATTCCTCTGGTGTCAGCGGGCGCCTCGCCCGGATGTCCAGGGATGCCACGGCATGCTTCCCTCTCTCTTGCATCCCTGGCCTTGCTGACACGTAGGTCGTCTGGCCCATGCTTGGGCCTGGGGCCCCGAAACTGGGACCTGAGTACTGTTCCGCCTTTCTGGCGGGTGAGTCCGCTCCGCGGTCCGCGGACGGGTGCGGCCGCTGTTTTCCTGCCTCTTGACTTGGTCGCGGCTGCTGTTTCTGGCGGAGGGCCGCACGGACTTGTGCGGCGGTAAGTCCGACCGCGGCCCACTTGGTGGCCCGCCGCAGCAACATCCCAGCAAGAGATGTCCCGCAGCGTATGTGAGTGTGCAATCCACCAGGAGGGCCAACACCAGGTCGGCTGGTATGCCCCCAGCCAGGGCACAGCTGATCGTGATCAGCATTTGAGCCAAAGGGGCTGTGTGTGAAGGGCAGTGTATAGGGGGGTTACATGGGTGACCATCAATTATGACCTATCCTTGGTTACATTCTATAATTAAGAGATTGGTGCAAACATTAGGTTTGTTTGATAATATTTAGAAACCCCGAAGGGGGGGGAACCGAAGGGAAACCCCGACATATTGGGTACCCAAGGACACCCCCGAACCCAGCCCACACACGGCCCTATCGCCAGTGTCAGCCAAGGGTCAAAATAGAGGTCGCCCAGCAGGAACATGTCCTTGGTGGGAACCTCGTCTCGTGGTAGCGGCCTGAGTCGTGGTGGAACCGATTTGCCTTCCTCCAGTCTGGAGAGAGCATCGGCTTCCAGGTTTATGGTATTGCGCCAGTGCTGGCCGAACAAGGCTTCCAACCCAAGTTGTTCCACCCGGAGGGCCAATTCGGCTGCCAGCAAGTTGGCCTTCGGGTTGGGTGATGCGAGCTTGACCGCCACGCTGAGGGCAGACTCGCTGTCGAGCTGGGCTGTAATGCCAAGGCGGCAGTTCCTGATGCGATCCCCCCAAATGATGATTGAGATGAGGAGGGCTAGCAGTTCGTAGACTGTCATCAGGCCTGGGACGCCTCGTTCGATGCGCAGGTGACGGAGTGCCTTTTCAGGTATCGGGCAAGCCCACCGCGGATTGGCGTCCCGTGGGTATCGAGTAAGATGCCTCCCAGCCCTGTTGTGGACGCATCCGTCCTTACGGACCACTGGGCGGGAGCGTGCCGATCCCAGAGGAGCCTCTTCCTGGTGAGCCCGCCATGGTTCCCTTCCAGGAAGGCCCGTAGCCATTTAAAAGGCAGTCTGACCATCTTGGCGAAGACTGCGTTTGGAGGCCTTTTCCGCACCTTGCTGAACCAAGGCTGCGGCTTGTCCATTGCGTAGGTGGCGGCCCAGATCATGTTGACAAACGGGCGTACAGAGGGAACGATTCCTGCCACCCAGCTTAGCTCCCCAGCTAAGCTTCTGATGTTGTATACCAGCCCTTGACGCCCCAGCCCTTGCTGGGTGACCTTCAGCAGCTTGTCTATCCTGTCCTTGTCTATTGCTACCTCCACCCCCCCGGGGAATACCCGGAATTGAGCCCCGATCCATTTGACTTCGTGCCCTCTGGATGCCTTGTGGAGGGCCACTCGCGCTCCAAAGGCGCTCCACAACATTAGGATCTTGGCAATGAGGTGGCTGCGATGGGGCCGGTTTCCACTCAGCGTGATGATGGGATCGTCTACATAGATCTGCGTCCGCCCCTCCCACGGGCCCAGTATGGCCTGGGTTGCCCGGCCGAGCCACGCGGCCGACCTCCCCCATAAAAGCGGGGCCGTGGCAAGACCGAATGGGACACCGCGATACGACGCGTACTCACCCTCGGCAGTTCGCACTACCGCGAAGCCCCTTTCCTCTTCTTGGACGCCCAAGTTGAGGAAAGCGTCCGAGATGTCCGCAGAGAAGAACTCTATCTCCTGCCCGTTGACCTCCATGATGTCGAGGGCGTCCCGCATCAAATCACTGCCCCGCGGTAGGATGATGCGCTCCTCTGCGGACGATAGGCCGTTAATTCCCGATCGGCGCATGTCTGCGATGAACCGGGTCTTGGTTGATCCATCTGCCTTGACCTTGACTAGCGTCGCTAGTTTGGTTCCCCTGGCATCTGGCCATCGGTGGACCACCTGGTTCCAAGGCCCTATGATTTCCAGGTGTCCTTCCCGGACTAACCTCGCCAGTTCGTCCTTCGACTCCTTCTCGTTTTCGTGAAAGGACTTATAGTTGCTGTCCACCTCGACCTCCGTCCCTCTCAAGGCCAAGTATTCAGCGCTGTCCCGCTGGGCCTTGGTGGGGAGAGACGGTGGGAAAATGCCTCTTGGGATTATTGGGCTGTTGATTCCCAGAGGGGTGTTGCCTTTAAACCATTCGGCAACATCGACATCCTGGTCACCGGCGTAGCCAGTTACCGCTGCGATGAGTTTCCAGCGCCATCGAGTCGGCCCCCTTTCGTCCCAGTCCTGGGTGGCGCCGGTTACCCTAGCAAGGGCTGCGGCGCCTGCCTTCCCCATTCTTTCCAAGACTGCACGGGCCTGCTCGGCATCTCCGGGCGACAATTCAGTCCCTATGGTTTCAGCTAGAGCCAATCCTTCCGGCATAGCCCACAGGACTTCATCCAGCGCCTGTGACGCAGGAGCGCCCCACTTGCGCCAGCCCGCAGAGGCTGCCACAGCCTTGCGGGGGTTGCGCATCCCTCCAGGGTACGCTTCGTCCTCCGCCTCCCTTTCTTCCTTGGCACTTTTGGTGTGCCCCGCAGGTGGTCATTCACCCGCCAATTGGGGCAGCTCCTCCCGAATCAACTTATTTTGGAACCTGCCCACTTTCTTGTATCGCGGTTGTTGGGGCGTGGCTTCTTGGTCTCGTAACCAGTCTATCCACCCCTTTGCCCAGGCCTCGCACATCCCCGTAGGGTACTCTGCGGCTTCTGCCGTCAGCCATACCTCCTGTTCCGTCTTGTACGACCACACGCGGCCTTCGAGCGTCGTGTGAGCGTGCCTGGGCACATCTCCGCAGCGTTTCAGGTGGAACAGCCACGGGCAATTTGTGAGCACGCCCGTGGACTTCTTGAAGGGGCCACCGTATGCGCACTGATCGAATCCTACGAACCGGACTTCCGGTCGTTTCCGAAGTCTCCTGACGGACTTCAGCTCCCAGATCAGCGACGGTTCTGGGTTTTCCATTGAAAACCACTTCCCCTCATCAAGTTGCTTTTCCGCCAGGACGCATCTATCGGTTATGGTGTTTGCTTCCACGGTCTGGTCGTCACCGAAGCCTTCTGGTCTCTCCTTGGATCTCAGGGCTTTCACTGTGCCGTGCTCGTCAGTGCGTCTTGCTTTGGTGAACGTCCGGCATGGGGGAGCCATGTGCCTCCAACTCGGGGCTTCAGCCTCCATCATTTGCAGGAACTCGTCATCCTGAGTTATGTCCTGCCCGTATCTGGCGTCATGTGGTGTCCTGACTCTGATCTTGGGACCCCCTATCCGGCTCACTGCCTTCGTGAGCCCGGCATCACCGGCGAACAACTCTTCGAAGACTGGCCGGTCCCCTTTTGCATCCTCTTCCCCCGTTTGTTGCGCCGGGCCAAGGGGATTCCCAGCGCCAGGGGGAGGGGCCGCGGGCCCCTCCGGGTCTCCCGGTCATGTACTCCCCACTTTCCCGCAATCCTTTGCGGGGTGGGAGCCAAGGCAAACCTGGCATACATGCACCATGCCCTTCTGGCATACGCCTTTGCATTCTCCGTTATTGAAACCGAAGCAGATAGGCTTGCCTTGGCGGTCTGTAAGGAACCGGCCCCGCCCGTCTCTTTTGGGACCTCGGCCCTTGCCTTTAACTGGCGGCGGACCTCCTCCTCCCTGGGCGGGTGCCTCGGAGGCGGTCGCTCCCTTGCCCTCCCTGGCCTTCGCCAACTGCGCCCTCAGCCTTTCCTTCTGCGATTTCCTGTTCTTCTTGGGAGGGCTCTTCTGGCTTGTCCCGTCGGTAGCCGAGCCAGTCCCTCCTGGCTGTTCCCGATGCTTTCCTCCCGTACGGAACAGAAGGGCTGGCTCCCTGACGTGCCTATCCCAGAACTCCCTGTCCTGAGATGCCACCCGGAACACTTCATTCCATGGTTGTTCTGGGTCATAGTCGTATGTCAGGCCCCTGGCGTGCTTCACTTCCAACTCTCTCCTGAGTCGGACAAAGTGCTCTCCGCGGCAGCGGTCCTCCGCCACCACCAGGAGATGCCACGCCTCCGGGTAACAGACAACGAGATCTCTGAAGGCATCCTTGTAAGCCTCCATAGCCGCAACAGTGGCTACCGGCACCTTATTCCCGCCCACGTCCTTTTCCAGCATGAGAAGCGTGTTCTCGTAGACACGCCAGGACGACAGCCAAGCATCGTAGCTGGGCGGGCCCGGTACTTCCACAGCTTTGAAAGTACCGTCCGGCTGGAGGATATGGTTGAGGAACTTCAGAGTCCTGGAAAAGCGTCCTTGAAAGTTAACGAAGACGGCGAAGTCCGCGTACGGCGGGAGGTCAAGATCCAGGACCCTGACCTTCATGGCCGATATTTGGTCCGGGGACGGCTCCGCCTCCGGTCTCACCGGCCCTCCTTTGGCCTTCCTCAGCACCTTGTAATGCTCTTCAACCAAGGTCTGGGTGAGTTCCGGGATCTCCCCTTCGTCCGCCTGATCCAGGACCTGACTGTTCTTCACCTTCCTGGCCGGGTTATTGGCCGGCCCACCCGGTGGCGGGTTGGCCGGTGGTCCTCCCCCCGCCCCCACCGGTGCGTGAGCCGGATCAGTCAGAGGGTCGACCTGAGGTCGTCCAAGCTTGGCCAGCGCCACCTGGTACATCAACCCCACTTGGGTGCCTTCAACTGCAGTAAGTTCGCGCTCGCCAGGCGCCACATAATCGGCATCACCCGGGGCACCGACTGCAGGGGTAGGCACCCGCGCTGTCCGAACAGCTGTGCGCACAGCTGTCGGTGGGAGGTATGCTAAGACTCTGAGATGGAGAACTCCACCCGGGTAGCATCCACCGTCTGCCATACGGCATCCGCCAGGCCAGACCAGGCACGGGCCTGGGCCACCGTAGTGATGGCTTCCAGTTCCCCGGCGGTGAGCAATGCCATGGCCATGGGGGGAAAACACAGAGGCAATCCCTCAATTCCCCAAAATTCCCCCCCCTGTGGCGGCAAAACCCTTGATCCAAAATGGCCACCACAGTAGGGTGTTATTACTTAACCAACCATCCCACCATGTTGTTACTGGGGCCCGTTGTTAGTGCATGCAACAAGTTGCATTACCCATATATATATATATATATACAGATACACATGTATGTATGTATGTATGTATGTATGTATGTATGTATGTATGTATGTATGTATGTATGTATCTATGTATGTATGTATGTATCTATGTATGTATGTATGTATGTATGTATGTATATATACATATGTATGTATATATACATATGTATGTATATATATATATACATATGTATGTATATATATACATATGTATGTATATATATATGTGTATATATATATGGGTAAATAGTAGTATTTCACTAACCTGAAATAAGGCCATGGCTGGGGATGATTCCCCTAAAATAAACCATAATTTCCAGTTCGGGAGAACAGTGAGGTCGTTATTTCATTTACCCAGATTAGAGAGATTTTCCATGAACCAAACCATCCATGACTTGATAAACCTTCATGACTTTGGGATTTTCCATTATTCACCATCAATTTCTTTCGGGGCCAGGGATTTTCCATGAAATAAACTAACTAAACCATCCAGCTATCGGGGTATCCCCCCAAAAAACATCTGTTTTCACGGAAAAATGGGGAATTTGTAAACTAAAAAAAACAACCGCCATCCTCCATGAAAAATGGATCCATTGGGTCCAAAAAGGTGAAATCCAAGACCAAACCAGGGTTTCAAAGGTAGCCTACCCCGACTCAGAAATGGTCGGCATAACCAAGCTACGATTCATGCTGGAGGGCGGAGATACCCTCCGGTAAATTAACATAGACCCTGCCAGATAGGGGTTGGAAGACTAGTTTCCACTATAAATTGGTGATTTTCAGGGTCTATGTTAATTTTCCAGAGGGTATTGCATATCTATGCTATTCTATGGGTGAAACATGGTGAAACTACGGCTATCTAACTACAGTAATTATTGTAAGGGGGGCCCCATCCTGTACCAATTGGTGCCCGCACCTTCAACTGCCACAAGTCCTTGGCTTCTGCTTTCAGAAATCGGACCTGGGCGTTGGGTCCCCCAGTTGTGTGGGTTGGCTCCCAACACCCCAGGGGCCCCAGGTACCTTTGGGGAGTAAATGGGCGAAATATAGTGGTAAACTATGATAAAATATGGATAAATATGGGGAAAAATTCCCAGCATTGTGGCTATCATTTACCGATAGTGGGCTGGAACAACCCTGTGTGTGTTGGATTATTTTCCTCCAGCTGTAGTCAAATATCGACCATCACTGAAACAGCTACTATTACTACTATGGCAAGAAACGCCAACTGAACTGTCTACTTAGACGGGCTATGCAGCTAGTTCACTGATTTGTAATCAATGAAATATCATTATCATGAACTTTAGTGATGTGTGGCGATCTAAACCAGTGACATCCAGGAGTCTATAAGAGTAAACAACGCATCTAAGATCATCTAAGTATCAAAGCCTTTCAAACCAACAGAGGTCTAAAGCCCATGATCCGTGCGCAGTGGCGTTCAACTGTTCAACCCCCGTTTATTGATTATAGGGATTATAATACACTCTAATTTCTGGAAGACCATGCGGATTCTCATAACCCCCTATGGGAATCTCGTTCTTAACCAACCAGTATGATGGAGTCACAGAGCGTTTCAACACTGCTCATGTGGAAGACGGGTTGCTCTTGCCGTATAAAAAATCTTCACATGTTCTTTTTTTGGGTGTTCAATCTGATCTTCAGTTCCTATCCTTGGCTGCCATTTTTGTTGATGTTACCCTCTGGTAATTTAACAGAACTATGGAACATCACCATTTTCAATTGGAAAATCCACTATAAATGGCCATTTTCAATAGCTATGTTAGTTTACCAGAGGGTAGTTCCTCACTTTGATCGAGAATCTGATAAGCAAGGCCCGCTGGTTGGTGGTTTTTTGTCACAACAATATCAGTGCCCAGTGCCTTTTGTAGGTGGATTTTTGACCCCAGAAGATCAGAAAAAACATGATTTTTGACTTATATCATGTTATATCCCATTTCTTTGATGTAGTTTTAATCCCACAAAACCATATAAAAGCATTAAAAAAACCTCTATTTCAGTGAGACTTCCGATGCAAAAACTGATCCTTTTTGAAAAAAAGACGGCGAGACTCCACATCCGCACCCGCCTGGTTCTGATAGAAATCACCCTGGAGATTCATCAAGAAGTATCCTGTAAAGACCTGGCGATGTGATTCATAGCTGTTAAGTGGGTTAGTTCACCCCAGTGATAAGTGTTTTTTTGTGGATTAACCCTACAAAAATGGTTATAACCCCAGTGATTTCAGTGGATTAACATGGATTAACCCTACAAAAATCCCATTTATAACTGGGGTGAACTAACCCACTTACGATTCGTGGGATGAGCCACCAAGTAGCTGTTGTTTTATAGCTCCGACAAACACCAAACACCCACGTCTAAGCCGAGATATCTCTGGGTACATGAAATAATATTTCACTCACCTGAATTGTTCGGCCATGGCTGGGGATGATTTCCCGGATCCTAAGCATGATTTCCAGTGAGGGAGAACGACGTGAGGTCGTTATTTCATTTACCCAGATATCTTACGTAATGTTCACCTTTTGCGACATTGTGTGCCGTTCAGATTTGCACGCATTTTGATGATGTTGTATAGGTAAAACATGATATATCTATATATATATATATATATATATAGAGTTTACTGGGGTGGATATCCCTTCAATTTCCTCCATGTAATCTCGATCTCATGAAGAATAGTTGCTGGAACAAGTTATAACAGGTTACCCTCTGGTAATTTAACATAGCTATTGAAAATTGCCATAGAAATAGTGGATTTTCCCATTTAAAATGGTGATGTTCCATAGTTTTTTTGTAGTTTTTTGTATGTTTACCAGAGGGTACATCTCGAAAATTGCAGACCCAGCACCCAAATGTTGACACCGGCACCGCAATTGCTGATCTCAAAACTCGACCAAGAGATAGGTGGATATCACCCAGCATTCCTCAAATCATTCCTTCATTTATTGCTTCAATTCAACAAAAAAACATGCTTGCCCATTTTTCCGAGCATTCACCTGGGTGTTCTCCGCTTGGCTTTCGGCTTTCATCAAGGTTCTGAATGTGTTTTCTTCAGTATTGTATTCACCCACCAATTTTCAGGTGGCATATCCATGCTCAGAATGTGTTTTTCAGTATCTGAATGTCAAATTTGTTGTTCCTTTTCTTTGAGTTGCTTGTTGATCCCCTGCCAAGTTAGAAAAAATCCAATCTTTAGTGGTATGTTTTTTGTGCTTACCCATCCAGTCCTAAAACAACTACAAGATACTACAAGTAATTATAGCTGCAGCAAAAAAACAGTTTGTTAATACATACGTACACCAAGTGTTAGCAAAATCTCAGTTAGTACTAACTACCCAGCCAGTCAGTTTCCCCCAATATGTTAGTCACATATTCACACCTGGCTGCGCATATTAGTCAAATGGCTTTATGTAGCCTATATCAATCTATATCCACCATCTAAACATAATTTACGCATTAAACCATCACCAGTTGCTTTATCCCTGTTGGATGGTAGTAATTTCACGATCTTTTGCTGCGTTGACCCCCCCCAGTTTGGTTAAATCACCTACACAATGCACAAAGTGGTAGACCTAGGGATCTCTGCTTCACCACTCATTAGTGAAAGCCCTAGTATTCTTGGTTTGATACCCCCATTCAATCAGCATTTTTCATGGTGTGAAATCCCCAAAATCCGGTCCTTTATACAGATCTTGATGAAATTGGTGAAGATCCCAAAAATCACGATATCCATTGATATCCCTTAAATCCCAGATGTTCCTAATTAATGTTTTTGTTGCTAAACAATCCCCTAATAATTTTAATCTGACTTTTTCAAAAGGCACCCATGAATTACCCAGATGTTGATGATATCTTTTAATTTAGAACCCATAATCAATCATATAAAAAATGAACTCCCCTGGTCTTGTTCGTTTTCACTAATCTTTTCTATGGTTTTAAACCATATATATAAGAACCCCTATATTTTTCTGATTGGTGGTATACCTACCCCTCAAAGTAATATGAGTTCGTCAGTTGGGATGATTATTCCATTCCCAACTGAATGGAAAGTCATAAAATTCCATGGTTCCAAACCACCAACCAAATAATATTGATGGTTAGATAGAGTCATATATTCCCCTTGTTTCCCAGTATATGTTCCATTTTTTTTCTACGGTAAGAACCCCTATGTTTGGAAAAAAAATGGTCATATACCGTAGATGGGGAACAAGGGGAATATTGTTTGTCGTTCTACTGGCAAAACCATAAGAACCCCTATGTTTTTCCATTTTTTGTTTGTCATTGGTTTTAAGCGTCGTCATCTTTTCGCTCAGCCACAGACATGGGCACCACCACGATGCTGACGCCAAAGAAGACGATGAAACCACCCACCGCCTTCCCAGCCCAGGTGAAATCGCCTGAGCCAAACGACCGTAAAAAAACGGTGATTTCCATGGGGAATTGATGATTTCATGGGATTCAATGGTGATTGAAAAAGGTGATGTCCATTGGATTTCAAGGGAGCAACAGTGAAAAATGATGCGAAAAATGGTGATTTAACATGATTTAAGCCTGCCAAACTATGTGGAGTTGGTTTGCTAAGTTGGTTTACGTCACTCATATTTCACTGTTGGATTTATGGTAGACGTATCGAACGAGTTAATGGGGTAAACATGTTCACCAAGTGCTACGTTTTTGTGCTTGGTGCCATCCCAGAAACATATGATTACCCTCTGGTAA